TGCCTGGAAGTTTTACAAAGGAAAATAAAAGTACTTTTGATATTTATCAAACAGTTCACAGGTATGAATGTTTCAGAAAAGTCAGACACTGTACTTGTTCGTTCTGCCTGTAATAAAACCCTTCATTTTATAACACTTCATGAAACTTTTTCTCATCATTACTACTGAAGCCAGAACAAGAAATTTTATATGATCTTGATGGCTCATAGGGTTCAGATGTAAGTAATACATGCACCTAAGTTATTTAGTGATTAGGATGACGAAGATAATGGAGACAAAATTAATCCATTAGTGACAAGTAATGAGCACTTTTTAATTGTTTGAATTAGAATACTTTCACGCATAAATATCCTATAACGTTTCTTTTGGTACTCAATTGAGGAAAATATGACCGGTGACCACTGCAAAGTGTGGCCTACTGCGATGAGCAGTCTGAAGAAAGGACGAGAAAAAAATGCATAAAACAACATAATCCAGCTCACCCAGTCTATAATAAGGCATATCATTATATGATTGTTTTCCATAGACTATTCTTGATGAGCGTGCGCTCTAAATAAAATCTTTTGATTTACTGAACTTTAGGTTTCTTTCTTCTCCACATACTCGTGAGTTGATAAGTGCCGTGTACAGAAAGAATTCCCACAATTTTTGTACTCCAGATATAGTGATCTTTTGAACATTTCCAGACCTTTTTTTAGAAACTGCTTTGCTATTATTCAAAGCCGTACAGTATGCTATTTTGAAATAGTACTGTTCAACAAGGTCATAAATAATATTTTTCGATATTTTTGAGAGTGCTTCATTGACACAATGGTACAATGCTAGCCAAATATGCATGTACCTCGGGGTTCGATCTTCAGCACCAGATGCACTCCTTTACATCTCCAAGCCACTAATAAGACTGGTAAAGAGGGAAGGTTGGCCATGAGGTTAGTAACCCCATCCCTTAAAAATAAACACCACTGCTGACGAAACCACAAAGCTGCAGCCTGAAAGCCTTATGTCCCACTGGGAACGTAAAGGAATTCAAAAATAAGTATTTTTGAGAGCTGTTAATCATATTCATTCACAAGATCTATCACCTTTGTTTGAGGTCTCGTAATGAAGTCATTCTCTGAAGTGAAAACGATAGGACTGAGTACAATTACAACAGCCTGCATGAAACTTTATGGTGAATCCACATGTGGTAACAGGGAGAAGAGAAGAGAAAAAGTTTAAGGTTGGTTTGTTCAGTTTTTAACAAAAGGTACATTTTGAAAAATTGTGGATTTTAAATGAAGCACTTCATTTCTCAGTATTGGTATAATGCAGAAAGCGTTGAATACTTTTAGATAAATTGCATGAGGACTATCCCAGGCGAATGTGAATTTCAGTGAGATAAAGTTTAAAGCACGATAAAGTACTTTTCAATCATATCTAATAGATATGTTCTTTCAGGTAATTGTGAAAATGAAAATAAATTTGTGCGATCTTAAAATGGTGGTCATTCATACAAAATACTTATTTTCAGTTTTGTTAGGTGCACTGTATTGTTAGATGGGTACATTTTCATTCAAAAATTTTAAATCAGTTCTTACAATGTTTCATATAGTTTAATAGTAGTTATTGAGGAGCCAGCTCACAATGTGGTAGATGGTTACTGCCGTCCAGTCTGAAAGGACAATAGGAAGACTGCAGAATATTTCGATTTAGAGGATGATTCATAATACAAACAAACTAGAGGATCTTCAGATGAAAACCAACAAGTTGGCAGGAGAAGCAACTGTTGAACAATAGGAAGATAGAGGTGATGAAGAAACCTAACCAACAAGATGAATCACCAATCATTATCAACAGGAGAAATTTTGAAGGAGGACATCATTTTCAACTACCTAGGGAGCATCGTCTCAACTCCAGGTGCCAATGACTAGGATTTCAAAGTCAGGGTCAAAAAAGCAAAATAGACCTTCATTATTCTGAAATCAACTTGGAATTCTGCTGCAACCAATACCAAGAACGGGATTCTTATTTTCAACACTAATGTATAGTTCAGAGGCTTAGAATGTTGTGACCGGACTAAATGTCATGGTCAGTGATATCTTAAGTTGTCTGCTGGTCATTTCTTCATCCGAAACTGAGAAAAGCTTTCATTTATATCTTATTCTCGATTTTTTAACATTTCTTTCATCACTTATACCTTGACATGTAGAGTACAGGTTAGATATTGGTTAATGCTTGCCTACTGATGTATTGATCCCTATTTCCTAGTGTTTTTCTTCTGCTGACGAGTTATTACTAGTACGAAAATGAAACATCTACCCAAACAATGAGAAGACATTCACAAAATAATTTTTCCAAGAATTTCTTAATAGCCAAATGGACACAACTGGTAGAAAGAAGGTCAAACCTGAATCAAAATGTAATTCCAAATAGGTGTTTTTTGAAAATATCTGAAAATATCTAAGACCGGTTGTATCCGAAATTCTACTTCTGGAATAACAAAATGGAAGGGTAGGATGAAAATAGCAAAAAGAGTTAGTTCTTCCTATGTATTGATCAAATTTATTCATTTGCGCGAAGGTAGATAGTAATTTCAAATCTGTTCCATTTAAATGGAAATCTTATTTTGTCACATTTGAATTTAGTCAATCTGATGAGAAAGCACACCCCTCCCCTAGTGAACGCCTGCAATACATGTGAGCGAAAAGTTTCAGATATTGTGTGAATAATGTTTAGATGTTAATGACAGCAATATCGGGGCTGAGTCTCTAGGAAAATGGAAGAAAATTTGCAGCTCAAGATGAAGCTTGTTCAGTGTACTCCGATGCCTGAAACTGGATTACTGACTCTGCTCACAGAGATATGCGACATGGTTAGTGTGATTTTGATCAACATCAACCATGAAACATTTTCGGTCTCTTCAGCTTTTCTTAGATAAAAGATCTTTCGGACTGCCGTTGGCTTACTACTTGATGAATACTTTGTGTTTTGGTTTAAACAAAAGCTCTTGGAACATTTAGTTGCTAGTACAAAAGCTGATTTTAATGAACCACTAGGTAACTGAATTAGGATATGCACCTATATACACCTCAGGATATTTTTACATTACCACTATTCGTATTATACAGTATGCCTGTTGACTGTTTGTGAATTCATGGAGTGCCACAAACACTGTTTAAATTAACAACTCTCAAAAAATTCTGATATGTTTGATATGTATTGATTCATCCCAACATGAAACGTTGAAAGTGTAAAAAGAGAATTAATTCGGCGGAGGGAGTTGAAGAGAAGCAGAATTTGAAAATGTCATCATTACCAGTTTTCGGGAAAAACTTATTTGACTTAGACGAGTTTTGCTAGTTTCAAATAAATCAGTATTAACTATAGACTCAAAAAGGAACCCGTTGCATGTTATTGGTTAAATTCACCCAATAGTCAATCAAATTAAGAGAAACCCAAGCTTAAATATCAATTCACTACTTATTTAAGAATAAATTTGAGTTGAATATGTTGAAAATAAGGCAGCAAGTTGTAACGAGTGGGTTCCATGAAACCGCATTTCAAGATATTTATGGACTCGAGATCTAGAGTAATAGAAGCTCACTGATGAAGAATTTCGAAAAAGATGGCTCTCACTAAACTTATTGCTCTTCATCGTTGACGAAGTTTTACTTGACATCCACTTAAGCCCATCTGAGTTTTCAAAAAAATATCAACTCAATCATCCACCGAATTATAATATCAGCCATGGGTTTTTTGTTTTCCTTTCTAATCTTCTTATAAATTTTTTACTTAAGCCAACTCATCACAATTTTAGAGCCTGAAATACTGTCATCTTCCAAAATAAGGTTTATTCAAACATTTGTCTAACCTACTGAGTTTCAAACAGCTGATCGCACTGCCTAATTTATATCTGCATATCAAACATGCACTTCTAGTATGACAATAAATCAATCAATTACGACAGCGTCATTCAGACTTACGACCAATTATCAAAGCAGAGTATTATTTCTTACAAAATTAAGAGGCTTCGATTCAACAGCATGCGGACTTGCTTTATTGACTAAGTTATAATTCACTGTTTGTATTTTCCAACATTTCTGTAGGTCATTTCGGTCTCTATGAGTATACGCATTACCTTAAACGATATCATCATCAACATTTTTAACTAAACCTTTCATTATATCTACATGTAACTCAAAACTGAATTCAAACACTGCCTGTAGTGCTTGAATCAGTGAATACAAGTGGAAGTCTAATAAAAGTATCCGTCTGTTCATTCTGAAACCTCCTTGTTAGCGAAATACAAATTAAAACGGTCTCACAGTACATCTCCACGTCAACTGTAGAGTTCAGTTTGGTATTCATTTCAAAAGTTAACCCAGCAACTTAATCTCATAGCAACAATCTGGGATAAAGCTATCCTGAAACTAAACATATTGAGTAAAACCCACATCATAAACATTAAGAACGATAGAAAGTATCAGCTATAACACTAGGCAGTTGTAGATGTGGGGATCTAATACACTATTGATTTTCGAAATACTAAATTAATACTGAAACAAGTTTGAAGGTACTGTTGTACGTAATAGTTGTCTACAATTGAGAAAAAGCTTTATCAGAACCTTTTAAGTGTAACTAAGACTCTGAGTGACGGCCTTTGAAACCCCTTGTCAAAATAACTGTCAATGAACAATATGTAACTAACACTGTCTTCATTTTATATCTTTTCATCTTTAGATCATAATTTCGAGGTATCTAAGCAGTGAATTTAATGACTAATCAGGCTTTCCTAGTGGAATAGTACTTGCTTGATACAGTGAAAGTGAAATTGCATAAAAAAGCATTTGCTTTTTGAATAAATTACATGTATTTCACAAAAATATGTAGACGTGCATTTATTATTTTCTTGAAAAATTATTCTAAGTGTTCATTTTTCATTCAGGCTATTAAAAAGTTATACTGTTGAAAATAGATACTAGCAGTTTAAGAAGAAATTTATCATTGAAATATATTTTTGACTAAGTTGCTGTTTTGAACAATAATACCTCCAAGCCTTTTGAATGAAAATAGATCAGATTACTATCCAAATGAGTAATTGAACTGTAAAAAAAAGAAATAAGAGAAAAGAAAAACAGTTAATATGAAAATTCATAAATTAGCTACTGTCATAAAATCAAATTTGTTTAGTTTTTACTATGCGGTACAGTGAAAATCTGAAACACCTACTTGGGGACAACGTTCTTACTGCCAATAGCTAATGAAGATTGATTATTTAGAGTATGAAAAACAGAAAGAGAGGACAACAGAACTTGCAAGATAAAATATTCACCTTAAATTAAAATTTTGAGTAGGCTTTAAACACCTTAAAAGTAAAATACTCACTAAAACGAAATGAAAAAACTAAATAAATTCACATACTACAATTTACAATCTTGTGGCTGAAGGTCTATTTCCACTCAAGTTTTGTTATACGCGTCAGTTTGAGATAATGATGCAATAAGCAGTTACGGTTTCACTCGCCATTAGGCCACAGACCTGAAATTTCGAATCAGGGATATGTTTCCTAGTCGACATTTTACAGATCCTGTAGTACACTACCTACTTTATTAGCGATTAGAACGATGATGCGATCAAAAACAGTTTGAAGTTTCGGAACCGAAATTCTTTACAAGTTATTCGGTTGATTACCTGACGAAATTTCTTTTGTTTAGCACATGATTCAAAAGAAAGTGATTAAAACTGTGTTACTAATAAAAAACAAAAGGTACGCTCAATATGTATGTATATATATACTGAAATGAAATAGAGAAACAAAGACAATTTCAACTCCGCAGTTAAAAATGAAGTGTTTTATAACTAAAATATAGTAAGTAAGTATGATTGTGCATGCAAGAAGTTGAACATCTCATTTTGCCAATGTATAGAAGTGATTAAGTAAGCCTGACATTAACTTTTTACTAAGTAAGCTAATTCTTATGTTATCTCCTTGTTGACGCTTTTAAATCCACTTTATTTTATTGTCTTATGAAGCCTCTTATTCCTTACTGGAATACATCTTTGGTAAAATAGTGTGACAGCTGTATAAAGACCTTTTTGTTAACATATGCAACAGTATCTTATGCTATAAGTGCAGTCTGAAATAGTTAGATTTGCGTATTATTGATATTTTTGTTCCACATTCTCTCCTTACACTTGGAACAAAATATTTTGTTAGTTTCACATTGATTCTCGTATTTATTCCTTCTGATTTTTCATCGCATCAATGTACACAGCCTAGGTGTCTTGTAGGGATTAGATTTTTGGTACTTTGGGCTAAGACAACTACTCTCTTATAATATTTTCCAAATTTTGACCATTATTTTACTCGGTACTACAATCACATTGTGTGTAGTAATATTGGGCTTAACAATAATTGTGTATACAGAATTTGAAGTTCACTTTATACCATTAAATAGTTGGAGGTAAGTGGAATCAAATCGTTCAACTAAGTCCTGTTTACGCCTCAATCAACTTCCTGTGGAATTTTGTCGGGTATTTTGATTAAGAGCTAGTGATAAGCAATGTCACTTCACTGGGTCTTTAATACTTATTGAATTTTCTCAATCGCTAAGTCAGGAGACTCATCATTGCCTTCAGCTATACAAAGTAACTCAGACTGCACCATTAAGGCATCGTAAACTTGATCGGTTGTGTTTGCTCAGGATCAAGAAATAAATAATAAGAAACATTTTTATCATGGGCAGTTAATTACAGTATGAATACTAACTATGCTCCAGTTAAAATTATTTCGGGATTTGTGGATTACAGACCACTGATTTGACTCCATTTTACTCTCCTCAGTTTGAAAAAAGGAAGTATTGTTCCAGGGATTCAAGGAGTTTAACTTCCTCGGTTGATAAACTCTTCCCCATTCAGTTTATTAGTCACCTTAAGGTTTCTAACCATCAATACCAACTCATCTCATTGCTTTAATTACTTACTTCCGTACTTTAATAATATAAAATGTGAAGTTTTCGTATTAGTTATTGTCTCATTCATTAGGACACTATAACAAATGGCTGACATACTTTCCTTTAGCAAACCACATTAATTCAATGCTCATTATACAGAAGCTGTTTAAATGCTATTTCATTTCATAAAATCGAGATTTCAGAGCGTATTTTCAAGCTTTATATATAATATTTAAGCAAATATTTGATGGAATAATCAATTGTATTATAACTCATTTTTAAACTGCATCGAAAAACAGTGTTTATCTTAGTCAATGTTGACGTCCCTCAAACTGAAATAATCTTTAAATGTGAACTAGTAAAACAAAAATCCCGTGTTCTTTAACTTCAGGGTTCCGTGAGTTGTTTCGCCTAAACACTTCTTATGAAGTTTGTGTTTTTGTACTTGAAATAAAAATTCAATTCAATTTTAAATGCTAATTAGTATATATATATAAAGTTTTAAATAATTCTAAGATATAAAATGACTTCTAGGCCGTGAAATGAAACACGTGAATGTGTGACAAAACTCTATATAGTTTAGAATACCAAGTCAACTGATACAAACTAAGACTAAATTATTCATTGGAAAAAAGTCTACTTCATAGAGTTTCACAGAATTTTAGAACTTTGGTAGACAGTGTGTATAAATAACAAATAAAGAATGTAAGAAATTGAAGGATAAGTATTGTAGTCAGCTGTTTAGCTTAAACAGACCTTATGGCTAACATAACGATGAAACCATACAGAATAAGGCCTTTCAGCTGTTATCCTTAGGTTGATCCAGATGTCAAGTAAAAATGAACAAACCTGAAAAGCTAAGAGAGGTCTTTGCCAATATGTTGATACAGTAAGAGTTGTGATTTAAGTTTAATTCCAAGAAACTACTTAGAAATAAATGCTTAGTAGTATCTTATTCATACATGTTTGCTTATAAAAGCAAATATTTTTTCTAAAACACATTGTTTAAATGCAATCATATAGGCAGACGTTAAGATTTTTAAAATATTCACACTTGACTGTGCTTTCTGAAATTAGTTTCCTAGTCATAGATGTGTAGAGTTTCTAGTGGTCTGCCTGAACCACTGAGTTCCCCGAATTTTCATTTATCATAATGTATCTACTCTAATACCAATTTCTTGTTGTTTTATTTTCAAATAATGTCCCTAAATCACAGTATGAACTCAGACATCATTTAAATTGGCTCCAAACCTGCCGTTTTATGTTTCAAAAAGAAAATGAAGGGAAGATGTTGTGGACGATTGAGTACATTTTGAGGTAGAATGACGTCGAGTTATGCGATATACTGTTGACGAGCATTAACTTGGAGGTTCTATAATAGAGTAAATATATTGCAAGAAACTACTGTAAGAGTTCTGTGTTGTGTTTAAACATAATTATCAGAATAAAGCCGATATTAGACAAAGCAATAAGAAGACGTAATTTGTCTGAATCGTGTAATGTATTTGCGCAACACATTTCGAACAATCTGATCACACACAGACTTGTCATAGGAATATATATGAATTTATTAAAGAGTTGAGAGGCAAGAAAACAGACTTAAGTTAAAAGGACATATTCAAGGTCGAAATAACAATGAAGGTCACTAAATCAAATAACAGAGGTAATAATACATCTGCTGTGGTATCAAGACACAGCTTACCAAGGAAGGTTTAATGTGGTGACAAATTGTTTTTGCACGCATAAAGGTGATTGAAACTTCCTAATCGATAGGGCTACCACAAACTTTAGGATGTACCCCAAACACGTTCTATATATAGATTCAAACGACGTGTGAACATCAATTTTATGTCTTGTCTCTATAATGTGTTTCGCAATAGAGTAGCTAAGTTTCTTGTCCTCACCATTAATGGGTTCTGGGGATTCTGTTTGCTTCTGAAGCCAGACCTTACTTACAGAGATCGATGAGTCCTCTCCTTGTATGTGTGGCCACACGTACATTCAAATTGGCAAATACAGTGGGATGTGACATAATTTTTCGCACGTTCAAAGGGCTTAGATGGATATATTGGCCTCACATTCTCAATTATTATGATATTAGCTGCACGAAAAGTCTTTCTAACAGCAGCGTTCAATCTCTGTCTAGTAGTAGTAGGCAAGCTGCTATGATCCTCCATATAGGATAGCTTGATGTACACGTCTTTCTTAGGGGCGAGTTGGAGAGTGGGTCTTGGTGTTCTGACTACTTTATATCTCCTGATGAACTTGTCTGGATAATTGTTATCAACCAGAGTTTGTGTCAACTTTCATTCTTCCTCATCAAGTATGTCTTCAGTGCATATTCTTTGTTCATATATTGACTTATTGTTAATACCTGGGTCTATCAGAATTCGGAATTACTCTGTAAGTGTAGTCCTTTAGTATAACTTTTATTACTGAACAACTGCGTATAAAATACCTCACAGAATGTTATACAATTAAAAATATGATCTAAGTATTTACAATTCTGATCTTCATTCATTTTAAAAGTACCCAGTGAAAACGAATTGTTCTTACCTTTCAAAATCATGTCCAATTATACATTGCCAATTTCGTCCATAAATATGATCAAATTTTTGTTTTAAATAATCAGCTATATCTTTATATTTTGAATATGTTGAATATGCTTCAGTGAACCAGTTTATTGCATTGTTCTCCATATCTTTTGGCATATAGACCATTATCACTTTCAACTGATCGTCCGGCATTCTGTTCTTCTAAATGTTTAAGTATGCTGTTCACGATATTTATATATATTTTTTAAACTCTGTTAGTTTTAAATTTTCTGAGTATTTCTGAGGGAATATTTGTTTTAAATTATATCAGAATTCTCATGGATGTATTAAATATTCTTCATGCTCATTATCTGATGCTGAAACCATGTGAACTAGGTGAATGAGTATGCTTTTCTATTCGTGAAAAAGTACATTTTACTGAAACGAAAATATGGAACCTAACAAGCTTCTCTTAAAGTTGGTAACCATCTAATAATACGTTCTTAAAGTACAATATACAATATTTGGTATGCTTTTATAGTGTAAAACTTCACACTACCTGGAGTATAATTATTTCTCAAAATGAAAAAATTGCCTATCATTTATTTTCATTATATTGAACAAAGCTACCTATAAACCAACTCAACATGTTTCAGTGAGTTATAACTACAATTTCTGCTTATTTCGGTAAATCTAAATTAAGTTTCTTTTTCACTTTCAATAGCTGATATAAGAGTACTGATTAAGCAAAAGAAAGTGGTGACATATGTGTATACAAGCCATTGGCAATATTAGTTATAAACGCAAACTTTTGATTCCTATCACAATCCTCTATTTTGCACCTCACTACACAGAGTCCTGCACTGAGGCTTCTGAAATATGTTGGTTTACATCCGTTAGGAGTGAAGATAAAATCTGAAGGATATTTGCAAAATGTTCTTCAATAGTTGGAGTAACTAAAAGCTGAATACTGGAAGGCATCACTTAAAACTGCTGAACTGTCTAATGGATATGACATTTAGAAGAATAAAGGTTTTAACTTGCAGACCGCTTATTTGAACCTGGGTCAATATTAGTAGTAGTTAACACCTGTCAAACACTGGTGACTAGTTTCCATTTAGCACCTTGGAGGCATTACAAACCCCTGATCGATCATCGAATGAGCACATCAGTCTCCAGTGATTCAATAATACTAACCTTCCTGCTAACATTCTTATATCTTTAATTGTTATCATTGGACGATGGAAACTGTAGATCATTATAACAAATCACTTTACATTCATCAAAGACAAAACTTTTTATCGTATTCTTGTTCATCGGATCTAAGGAACACAAATGTCAATAATTTATGTAACTGGTTCCCTTCATTAGTTTGAACTAGCCAATAACGAACATATATGCAGGATAATATGAGCTCATTATATTTTGTGGATTCTCTTCAAGTGTATACATTCTAAAGGAAGTCAGATTACAAGTTACAAAACTTTTGATCATATTTTTTCTCTCGAGTTTTAGGTAGACAACGTAAGCAAGGTAATTCCAAAAATGATATAAGATGACGAATTATTCGATGTTAAAAGAATAACTATTTGTAGGATAATTAGACAAAGGAAGCGGGTAGAGTTGAGATTTCGCGTGGAAACAAGAATTCACTAGAAACAAAATATGAGTTCGAACAGCGGAGTGAATTTTCACATATTATGATGGAGAATTCGGAAAGGTGAGAATGAATAGCAAACTAAAATTATGAAATAGACAAATCAATTAAGTAGCTTCGCAAAAAATGAATAGTGAGTACAATTCAGTAAGTGAAAATCAAAATCAAATGGAATGTTACACAACAGAAGAAAACACAAAAGTACACGAACAAAACAGTTACGGTCACCAGGGTAGTGAGGGATCAGTCACTGTATCTTTCTGTACTTAGGGGTTGGATCGAAGTCTTTTGAAAGGGTTGGTAATTTAGATTAAGGTTTATTCTTAAACTACTATCGCTGATAAGCTTTTCACCCTTGAAAGTGCTGTTTTGTTAGTAAAGAGTCAGTGAGGCAAAAGAACGCACTAAATTATTTCAAATACACTTTCTCGTGAATACGTACTAAATACTACATAGAAAGTATCTTAAAGGGGAATTTAGATTTAAGGGTGACAAAATTATCTGAACAATCTCGCTACCAGTATTATTATGTATCTTGAAATTAGAGTGAGAATCCCTCTGATTTTTTCCATTTCTTTGCATTCCCAGTAAAAATCTGGGCTTCAGGCTACAGCTTTGACGTTTCGTCAGCAGCGGTGTTTATTTTTACGGGGTAGGGTTGCTAGCCTCATGCCCAATCTTCCTTCTTTACCAGTCCTAATACTGCCTTTGCGAGGTTTGGAAGTGCGCCGGACGGTGATCGAGCCCTGAACCACCTGCGTGACTGGCGAGCATTCTACCACTGTGCCACCGATGCACTCTCTAAAAGTCGATAAATTTATCCTATAATTTTGCTTGGATTTAACCACACTTCTGAAGAAACAGATGGATTTGTGAATAGCAATAATGCCTAGTGATACTCATTCGTGCATAGCACATAAATGACATTTTGTGACTGTGATCTTTGTCATATTTATATTAAATGCATGGATCATTAATTCATGTTTTTTTGAATAGAATTTAAATTCACGTGACTACTCAACCAATCAAAAGCAATTATTCTAGGTAGAAACATTTGAAAATGTCTTTACACAAAAGTTGACTTTGGTTCTAAGAAAAAAAAATAAATAGTTTCACATTCTAAATTACTTCGCTCCTAGTCAGACAAACTAATCCGTGACAAAAACACAAATTCTGCAAAATACACATCAGTCTCTCTATTTACATCCCAGTTTCTCTTGTCAGTGACCCGAGAAATAAACTGTGTTACTAACTGTATTCTCCTGAAATAATATTCAAAACGCACAATCTATATTTAATAGATTTCATTACTAATAGCCAGTGAAACAATCAGAGTTTCAAAATGAACAAATCAGTCATCAAAAATGCTGATATGTCCAGTCAAATGCAGAGACACGCTCTAACAATTGGCACAGAATCGGTACGGAAATTTGAATTAGAAAAGGATATAGCCGATCATTTGAAGAAGGAATTTGACACAAAGTATGGACCAACATGGCATTGCATAGTTGGCAAAAACTTTGGAAGGTGAGTTATCCTATAAGGGCTTGAAATTTTATTGCTTAATTGAGCTTTGCATTTGTGATATATAATTTCAAATATTTAATTCCTAATGTTATTTTTAAAACATAGTATTCTTAAATTGTATGAGATTGTTGACTGATCACATCTAAATGCCAAGTAGTCAAACCCTTGTTGTTAGTAAGATCGGTTTCGATATGCTTCATATGCGGATATGAGTTCACAAAGTTGACAAATATTGATTTCCAAATATTAAACCTAGAAAAGAAGCATTCGACGATAATTTTTACAAAACAAGTTTGATGTATTGAACAGACGACTTCCTACTGATCAAGAGAACTATTTTAATGTTTTGGGTACTCTCAAACTATCTAAGAGGAAATAAAATTTTGATGACTGTACGCTTTTTAACGCATTGATGACTTCCTTTTTTATTTTAACGTATCTGGAAGATCCTGGTTTCCTGATTTTTTCCTGAGAAATTTACAGCCGTATCACATGCTTAAGTCATTTTCAATAATTTCTGTGATTATCATGTACTCATCAGGAATGTTTATTAGCATTAGCGAAAAAAGGCGGACTCCATTATATGACTGGGCTACCGTAGTTGCTTACCAAGAAAAAATGCTTAATTTCATATGGACTTATCGTCGTTTTAATGGTTCAGTTTTATTAAATGACCTATACATGAACATCAGCGCTGATTTAACTTGCTTCCAAGTAAATGCTGTGCATTCCTTCAACGAAATGAAGATGTACTTGAGATCATTACTTTACCTGTAAATCTTGTATGAAGCAAAGAGTATTTTGTAACTAAATACGCTGAAAAGTGTTGTACCATATGTTCGCATATTGTCTCAAAACTTGATTATTACAAAACTGGAAAAAACTGGGTGTTCACCACCTGCATCACTTTCTGGTAATTTGTAATAATTGAAGAAATCTCTTCTCTTTTGAATTCATGAATACATCATCCCAGTATTGGAATAATACGACATCTATCCATTCCAATAACATAATCACTGTAAAACATCATAATCTGTAGTATGAGATATAATTGTAACTGTTGTTTAAGATAACGGTCATTAATGTAACTGCTAGTAAGCAGTAGCCCGTAGAATATTTATTCTATGTTGCGTTATCTTAACACTGAGAAACTTCGACTTACGTTTTAGCATAGATTTTTGATACCATTATATTTATTATGTCAGCTTTATGAGTATTAATTTGATGACGTAGAATGCTTCATGAATTTATCATGTGTTTACTTTAAGTTACTGTCGAAACAACTATTTCAATTGTTGTTTATCAGTGCTTTCTTAATTCATTGCCATACTATCCGTTTGTACTGCAAAAACACTTCAATGTATGATAAAATACCCAGATGATGACTCCCTAAATTCTTATTGTTATCAGGCTGATTCACTTCCACATTGAAAATGTTTCTTAAGATCAAGAAATTCCACACAGGCCTTCTGAAATACACAAACTTTTTCCAGTCACACCTTTTAACTAGTAAGTATACTCATCATGCACATAAATAAGAAACAGTTTACGTTGCATAAAGCTCTAAATGAGTACCAACTGAAGCGCTGAAAAGATAAATAATATTTAAATTTGATTTGGGAATTGGTCACTAAAAAAATTAGAGTAACAGCTGACACTTCATCAAACATCCATCTAAATTTAGACGTGAGGGTTTGGGAAGGACGTTCACATCTTGCAAAGAGGCTGTCATTAGAAGAAACAGTCAGCGAGAAACTTATTGTAAAATAAAACCTACTGAACAACGGATTCTTAAAATATCTGCAGAAGAGAGTGAAGTTATTATTTCTAGTGCACGTTCCAATTAATGACAGTTTGCAAACTGTTATATATATAGTGTAAACCGATTGAGATTCACTTGTTTCATATCAAAGTGCACGTAAATGTCATGTAATTTAAGTTACTGAGGTTGTGTCACTCTACACCTTCTACAGACTAATATGTATGAATGTATATGTACATAAAATCCAGTTCTTTAGATTTCATCAGT